ACCACCAAAAGATTCCTCTCAACGAGCTCTACAACTTCAATTAGAAGCTCAAAGGTGGTTAACTTAGTACAAAAAAAAAGTTTTAGAATAGAGCAGCTCACATTCCAAAAACCCTAATTTCTATATGTAAACCGTGTCATGTTACACTATGACCTCTCACTGGTTGACTGGCGAATCACTAATTAAATAAAATTATATGTAATAGAGAATATTTAAAGAAAATTATGCATGTGTAGTTTAATTTATGCTGCATAATATTTAATATATATGCAGTTGTGGCAATACACTATTTAATTGATTGATGGAATAATATAGATTCTGCATTTATAGATGTAAAGTATTTATAAATTATTTAATTATTTACTATTAGAAATTTTAAATATATTATTAACTAATAATTCAGATTTAATATTCGATGGGTAGACCATGTGGTCAAAATCAAACAACTTGTACTTACTTGGGTAATATCACTGTTACAAAAAAAGAGCGAACTTGTTAAGGAGTTAAAATTTGCAAATTTGCAAATTTAGAACTTCAAGAAATGCAACATGAATCTGTAAATCCTGATTCAGATCTACAATTGAAAATAACTAATGAATTATCAGCTAATAACATAGAAAATAATTCTTTTGCGAAAGATTTTTTAATAAATATATAATATGTTATATTACAATATATATACTAATAATATATATATATTTAGTATATATTTAGCAGTATACAAAATCCAATGTCAATTTCAAAAAAATGAAGTACAATATACAGGTTTACTAGTATTAAAACGGTTACATCGGCATAATAATACATTATTACCAACATATTTTATTGGATGTTCCAACTGGCAATATCAAGAAAAATATCATTGCTATATTAGCATTAATGAAAATGTTGATTGTAATTTGCTTCAGCAACTTTTAGATGAAACTTATGAGGTAAAATATTATAGATCAAAATGAATAAATAAATAAATAAATAAATTTAATTAATTTATTAAATTTATAATTAGGGTGAATCTAGTGAACCAGTAAATAATTGTTATACTGTTTTACATAATAGTTCAAAGAAAACACATTGTCATAAGTAATTAATAATAAAAATTATAATTATTATAAATTTAATATATTTACTATTTTTAATATATTTATAGCACATCCTCATCATACAAATAATATTATTACACAAGGATTGATAGTTTGCAAAGCTTGTTATGTTAAATATTATAGGCTAATACCATTAGATATAAAAAGTTGACATATGTAATTTTTTTATCTAAAGATATTCATTCACATCCCCCACCACCATCTAATCGAGTACTAGATGCTATACGTAATCATTTACAAGAATTAATTTATCAAGCAAATGATAATACAAGTAAAGTTACATCAACTCATATTATAACAAGTAATTAAATAATTAATTTTAGCAATTTATTTTTATAATATATAAAATTTAATATATTTATAATTTTAGAAAATTTGATTAAATCTTATTTTGGAACTGAATATCTTGCAAATATTCATGCTTCTTTAAATAATATTGATCATCTTCAATATTATATAAATAAAATTCAAAAAGAAATCCATCTTCAAGGTCAAGGACTTTTTGAGTTATTTATAATTATTCTCGCAATATTAATAATATTTGTGATTATATAAAATAATTAGGTATTTAAATATTTATTTTAATTTTATTAAACTTAATATAAATTATTTATTTATAAATTAATTTTATTAGAATTTTTTGAAGATCAACATATATTAATTATATATACAACTTCTAAACAATTAAATGAATGGATAAAATGTGAATATTTTTAAATAAATTTATCTTTTAAACATGTAGCTGGAGAAATGAATGAATTTGAGATTAATTATTATAATAGTTCTCATAATTTAAGTAAGTTAATAATTTATTATATTATAAATTTAAATATTTATTATACTGTATATTAATTAATTTATATTATTTTAGTTCTTACCTTTGTTAGAGTTTTTACTAATCATGCAACAACTATTGCATATCAAAGAATTTTTTGATCTTTATTTGATCTTATTTTACAATTAACAAATTTATTACCTTAGTTTAAGCATATCCATGGAACTGAGTGGAGTTGTATAATTGCTGATTTAGATTTAGCTCAAGCACAAGGTCTTGGCTTAGTATTAAATGAAATTGATAAAACAAGAAGTTGGGAAGATCATTTAATTCATATATTTAAGTCATGTCATGTATATTTTAAATGGTAAATATTAAATTGATTTATTGATTTATTTATTTATTTATTTATATTGTATTATATTATATTTATTATAGTAATATTTTAAATAAAAAATATGATGATGCTATTACAAATAATATGCTTGAACTACTTACAGCTGATTCAGAAGATGCGATTAATAAATTATTTGATAATATTCAATTATTTGATAAAATTTAAAAGGTTAAAATATTTAAATTTTTTTTAAATAATTGATTATAAAGTAATTAATAAATTTTTCTTTACTAGATTGGGTCTTATTTTATCAGCAAAAATGGATCATTACATCACTTAATAAAAATATTTTACAAATAGATGATAATATTTGAAGAATAGCACCTAACAATACTAATGTAGCAGAAGCTGCACATGCTTTAAATAATCAATGTGAAAAAGGTCTTCAATTAATGAATGCAATTTTACAGTATGTATACATATATTATTGCTTAATAAATATTATATATATTTTTATTTATTATTATTTTTGTAAAGGATATAAATTAGATAAAGAAAGATTTACAATGATTAATATTCATCAGCAATATAATATACCTCAACAAGGATGTAGAAAAGGGCCCTATATCATGTAAATAAGCGTAAAGGTAAATTAGCTAAGAATAATTAATAATAATTTATTGCAAATTATTTATTTTATTATATTACTAAATTTATTTTTATAATTAGTCAAGGCTCAAACTAAAAGATTAAATACAACAAAACCAAAAACCAATAAAAAAAAAATTCTACAACAAAAAGACAAAAAACTCAAAAAATAGTTACTGAATCTGAAGACACTAATGAAAGCAGTAATGAAGGAAGTTCAAAATCTGACAAGCTAGAATACTTAGAACAAAAATTGGCATTAAAAGAATGTGAACTTGATTTGCAAGAAAGAGGCAAAAGTTCATTCAATTGAACTATCAAATCTTGAAAAAGAGTGTAAATTAAATTTGGCTAATTAATTAATATTGTCAATATAGTTAGTTAAGTTATAAAATATATCAATATCGATATATATATAATATAGATACAAAATATAAGATATCGAATATAATAAATAAATGCTCAATTGCTATAAGTTTAAATATTGTATATAAAATATTTATTTTTCAAAATATATATTAAATTTTTTAGTATACAAGTTTGTGCAAATATATATATTTAAGTATAGTATGCTATTTATATACATAATCGCTATTTTAATAGCATACACCACTACTTTGATCAACCATACATCACAACTATTCGTAATACCGTAAATATATGCTTAAGAATGTTATTCGAAGGTCATAAATATTACCATTAAATTTATCGGAACAACTTCAATCTATTATTTCTTTATTTATTAAAATCCATTTCTTTATCAACACAAATAAAACCTTCTATTCGTATTTCTGTCAAGAATAAGACTTTCCTTCGAAACATAAATCGCTAAGCATTATCATAATAACTCTTTATCCGACTAACAAGATCTAATAATAAGTCATTTGTATTTAACGTCGGATGATTACGATTACACGTCCATGGCTATCACAGCATGACGTTATATCGAATTCTGCAGAGGATTAACTTTAAAATTCATAATTCTAAAGTATTGTCAATTTTTATTAGCATTAAAATTATTTTCTTAATTAATTTTATGGGATTTCATAATTAATATATTTTGAAAATAAGTGGGAGTTTAAAAGATCCTACTTCTATTTTTAAAATTCAGTTTCAGTGAATTAAATAGGCACACTCATTAATAAAATTTGTCGTTTTGATAAATATCTAACGGTAAAATGATAATGTAAATAAGTCTATATGTTAAAAAATAGGATTTACGTATTTTAAAGTAAATACGTCACTTATTTTATCTGAAATCGGATGCCGAATCATTAATATAAATTTAAAACAAATATTTATTTGGTTAAAAATTATTAAAAATTTGTTATATCTTAAAATTGAGTATATGTGTAACCGTATCTATTAAGAGTAGATAGGTCAGTGACGATTGTTATGTAAAAACTAAGCAACTTGGGTTTATTTTTCTTTATTATGAAGAATGCAAGCGAAAGCCTAATTAGCTTTCTCTCTCTTTTACATATTTATATCGCATATTGCAATACAATTACTTAATTATGACTCAATACATTTACTTAATTATGACTTCGAATCGAACGTATAGCTATTACGATTCCTAATTACTCAATGTTCGATCATGCTAACGTGATTCCGACCTTACATCATGTTTCACGTGATATACTATCATTCTGTGAATTTCTGACATGTTCGTTACATGACACGTGCATTGTGCGACGTTTCCTTACACTCTCCCCTATTTAAACCAGTTTCACCGGTTTTTTCGAACTCTTTTACCAAGTCTTTGTAATTTTCAAGATTAGTCAAGAGTTCCCAAGTAGCATGGTATAGTGGGTGACCTTTCCATTTTACTAAGTACTGTAGACGGCAGTAATACGTTCTTTTGTCTAGTATGGCTTCGACTTCTTGTTCTTCTTCGTCTTCGGTTGTGATTGTTGGAGTTGCTTTTCTTGTATCGTCAAGTTCGTTGGAGTGGTAAGGTTTTAATAATGATATATGGAAAACTGGGTGAATGCGCAGATTTTCTGGAAGTTCTAATCGGTAAGCTACTGTCGAGATTTTCTGGGTGATCTTGAAGGGTCCTATGTATTTTGAGGTGAGCTTCTTTGATTGTCTTTTTGTGCTTTTTTGAGGAATTATGTTTGTTGAGTCTAATAATACTAATTCTCCTTCCTTTAGTTCCAGGTAACGTTGTCTTTTATTTGCTTGGTTGCTTTGTTTCTCCTGAGCATTTACTAATGAATCTTTCGCTACATTTATCATTTCGGTCCAATGTTCGAGCAATTCTTGTGTGGCTTTCATGTTCGTTGTGTTTTTCTTTTCGTTCGTTAAACTTAATGGTGTCCTTGGATGGTGTCCATTATCTAATTGGAATGGTGTATATCCCGTGGATCCTTGTAGTGAATTATTATATGAAAATTCTGCTGCAGGTAATATTTCTTCCCAATTATCTTGCTTGTAGTTCACGTATGCACGCAAAACTTCTTCAAGGATTCGGTTGGTGCGTTCCGTCTGGCCATCTGTTTGTGGGTGTGCTGCTGTTGACATCTTTAGCTCTGTTCCCATTATTTTGAAAAGACTATTCCAAAATTTGCTGGTAAATTTTGGGTCTCTATCGGAAACTATAAACCGGGGTAGGCCATGGTGTTTGAAAATTTCCTTGAAAAAGACTTGGGCGACTTCTGCTGCTGTTACGGAACTTCTGGTAGGTAAAAAATGTGCTTTTTTGCTCAATTTATCTACCACTATCATAATTGAATCGTTTCCATTCCTCGTACGTGGTAGGTGCATTATGAAATCCATCGACACGATTTCCCAAGATTGTGACGGAATTTCTAAAGGTTGTAATAGACCTGCTGGGGCTTGTGTAGAACTTTTGTTTCTCTGGCAACTATCACAGCTTCTTGTATATTTCTTCACGTCTTTACTCATATTTTTCCAGTAGTAACTTCGTCTTAATCCTTCGTAGGTTTTCTCGAATCCGAAGTGTCCGTTCAAGTCATGGCTTTCCTTTAATAACGGCCTTCGTTCCTTGGACTCCCTTGCTATGCATAATCTTGGCTCTTCTGTTCCTTCTCTAAAAAATAATAATCTATTTTCTTTTATTTCGAATCTACTTACCTGCTTTCCTAGTTTTTTAGCTTCTTCGCATTGAGGGTCTTTCAATACTTTTATGATTCTTCGGAGATAAGTATCTTCTTCATATTCCTTTTTTATTCTTTCATATATATCTGTTTCAATATTAATTTCCGTTATTGCGTTCGCTTCAGGTTTCTTTGACAACGCGTCCGCTACTACGTTGTTTCTTCCGGGTCGATATTTAATAGTAAAATTGTATGCTTGAAGAGCTTCAACCCAACGGGCTTGTCTTCGTGACAACTTTGTTTGGGATTGTAGATATTTTAATGATTCGTGGTCGGTTATGAATTGGAATGTATTTCCTTCTAAATATACACGCCAAATTTTTAGTACGTGGATAATCGCTAGGAGTTTCTTTTCGTGTATTGGGTAGTTTAATTCCGCGGGGGTTAGTTTTCTTAATTCGTATGCCACTGGTTGTTCTCCATAGCCTTGGTCTTGGGATAGTACTGCACCTATTGCTACGTCTGAAGCATCGGCTGTAAGAGTAAATGGTTTGCTGTGGTCTGGAATTAACAACACCAGGGTGGATGTTAATGTTTCTTTAAGTTTTTTAAAAGCTGTCTCCTGTGTTTCCTTCCACTCGAAATTTTTATTTTTCTTTAATAGCTTTGTTAATGGGGCTGCGGTGTTCGCGAAATCTTTTACGAATTTTCGGTAATAACCCGCGAGGCCTAAAAAGGATCGGAGGTCATGGATACTGGTAAGTGCGGGCCAATCTTGAATTGTTTTAATTTTCTTGGGGTCTGCTTTTACTCCTTCTTGTAAAATTATGTGGCCTAAGAACTCTACTTCTTCCTTCCCTAATTCACATTTCTTCATTTTTCCGTATAGCTTGTGTTGTCTTAAAATTTCGAATACTTCTTTTACATGCTTGCGGTGTTCTTCCTTTGATTTGCTATATATTAGTATATCGTCTAGATATATGATAACGCTTTTATCCAGCTGTTCACGGAAGATGTCATTCATTAGCCTCATGAATGAGGCAGGGGCGTTAGTCAAGCCAAATGGCATGACTAAGAATTCGTAATGCCCGTATCTTGTTCTAAACGCCATTTTGGGTGTGTCTTCCTCTTTTACTCGTATTTGGTGGTATCCTGAGTGAAGATCTATCTTACTAAAATATTTTGCACCTAATACTTGATCTAATAATTCATCGATACGTGGTAAGAGGTATCGATTTTTAACGGTTATTTTATTTAGTGCGTGATAATCAACGCACATTCTTAGTGTTCCTTCTTTTTTAGCTACAAACAACACGGAGGCACCGTACGGTGAAGTGCTTGGTTTGATTACTCCTTTACTTATATAGTCTTCGATTTGCTTCTTTAACTCCTTCATTTCTGGCACTGACATTTTATATATAGGTCCGTATGGTGGAGACGTCCCTTCTTGTAGTGGTATTTCATGGTCTATGTTTCTTTCTGGTGGTAAGTTCCTAGGTAATTCGTCAGGAAATACATCTTGATATTCCTCCACTAATTCCTTTAAAAACTCTGATACTCTTTCTTCTTTAATTTTTTTCCAGAATCTTCTACAGAGAATATGGCGTATAACTTTGTGGTGTTCTTTGCTTCTTGGGCAAACTGTTGTCTGGACAAAAGGTTTGTATGATATTCGTTCGTATCTTCTTTTACTTCTGCCTTGATTTTATAAATATGGTTGTCTTTTTTAATAGAAATTTGGTTATTTTTCCAATTAATTCTTGGGTTTAGGTCGTAGAGCCACAGTTTTCTCAGAATTAAATCGTATTTTTGTATAGGTAGTACTTCGACGTCGTTTCTTACATCTACAAAGCTTTGCATAGTGATCGCAACATTTGATACGCTTCCTCTGGACTCACATCGGGAGCCGTCTGCTAATTCTATTGCAGTTGGGGTATTTTCACTTTTTATTTCTAATTGTATGTCTTTGCTGAATTTTTCGTCAATAAAATCTTTAGATGCTCCGGAGTCTATCAAGATAAGCACGTTTCTACCTTGTACCTTTCCTTCTACCTTTAGGAGGCTTTCGCGATTTCCGCCAGCTTTTTCTTCTGTCTTCGAGAGGCTTTCTCCATTTCTTTCACTTCTCTTATCTAATTTCTTCTGGCTTACTTCCTCTACTTGGTTGATTTCATTACTTGAACGATTTTTGCTTCGGCAGTCTTTAGCCAT